TCGTTGAATTTAGATAAATTTCGTTAGATTTCGTGTAAATCTTGTTAAATTTCGTTAGATTTCGTGAGATCTCATTACATTTCGTTGAATTTAGATAAATTTTGTTAGATTTCGTGTAAATATTGTTAAATTTCGTGAAATCTTCCTACATTTCGTTGAATTTACATAAATTTCGTTAGATTTTATGTAAATCTTATTAAATTTCGTTAGATTTCGTGAAATCTTCCTACATTTCGTTGAATTTAGATAAATTTCGTAGGATTTCGTGTAAATTTTGTTAAATTTCGTTAGATTTCGTGAAATCTCCTTACATTTTGTTGAATTTAGATAAATTTCGTAGGATTTCGTGATATCTCGTTAGATTTCGTGAGATCTCATTACATTTCGTTGAATTTAGATAAATTTCGTTAGATTTCGTGTAAATCTCGTTATATTTCGTGAAATTTTCCTACATATCGTTGAATTTCGTTAGATTTCGATATCTCGTTAAATTTCGTTAGATTTCGTGAGATCTCGTTAGATTTCATTAGGTTTCGTTAGATTTCGTCAGCTTTTGTCGGCTTTCGTTAACTTTCGTTAGATTAATATATTTAAAGATTTACATTTATATAACTTTCTTTTAAATTTTATAAAAAAAATGATCACATTAGATTCAATTTGCATTTATTTATTTTAATATAATTTAGATTAATTTATTTTAGTTTGGTTTCGGTTAGTTTCATTTTTTTGTTTTTAATGGTCTCATTTTGTTAAATTTCATTTTGTTACTTTTCGTTGGATTTCAATAGATTTCATTGGATTTTGATAGATTTCCTTAGAATTTCATTAGTTTTCATTTGATTTCGTTGGCTGTTCATTTGGATTTAATTAATTCATTTAATTTAGTTTGGCTTCAATTTATTTTACTCCCAAAATAAAAATTGAAGTTTATTAAAACTATAAAATTTATATTAAGACATTTATGAAATGTAATTATTAAAGATATTATAATTTTACGATGTTTACAGCAGTCGCTTCTACTAAAATTAACTGAGTTTCTATTATATGTGAGAATCGAGATTATTATTATTGCCTGGTTGGCGGACCCACCGAATTGCGGCCTACGCTAACAAAACTGTACGATCCGGATGCTGGAATTGTTTCCGTCTACACTAGATATGATATTCTGAACAATGCGAGAGGCAACTAACTTTATATGTTCAATAAACATCGAAAGCGGCTTTAACTTCGTCCTCTCTTGTCTTTGGGTCCTGTAAACTATTATATTATACGCGAGAGAACTAAATTATAAAGTGCATACAAATATTAACAATACAAAGAAGTATAAATTAAAAATAAAAACGTTTATTTGCTCAAAAAAAAAGAAACATTACAAAAATTGAATTGATCAAAAATTGAAACCATTTTTCTATAAGAATTATGTTTAAAATTCGTCCTCTCTTGTCTTTGGGTCCTGTAAACTATTATATTATACGCGAGAGAACTAAATTATAAAGTGCATACAAATATTAACAATACAAAGATGATAAATTAAAATAAAAACGTTTATTTGCTCAAAAAAAAAGAAACATTACAAAAATTGAATTGATCAAAAATTGAAACCATTTTTTCTATAAGAATTATGGTTAAAATTGATATAATTAAGTGACCAATAACACTTTGCAGCAGTTAACTTTTTTGTACTGTTGTAAATCAATTATTTGACAAAATTGGAACAAAATTAGAACAATGCGTGACGCAACTAACTTTATATGTTCAATAAACTTGAAACGGCTTTAACTTCGTCCTCTCTTGTCTTTGGGTCCTGTAAACTATTATATTATACGCGAGAGAACTAAATTATAAAGTGCATACAAATATTAACAATACAAAGAAGTATAAATTAAAAATAAAACGTTTATTTGCTCAAAAAAAAAGAAACATTACAAAAATTGAATTGATCAAAAATTGAAACCATTTTTCTATAAGAATTATGGTTAAAATTGATATAATTCAGTGACCAATAACACTTTGCAGCAGTTAACTTTTTTGTACTGTTGTAAATCAATTATTTGACAAAATTGGAACAAAATTAGAACAATGCGTGACGCAACTAACTTTATATGTTCAATAAACTTTGAAATCGGCTTTAACTTCGTCCTCTCTTGTCTTTGGGTCCTGTAAACTATTATATTATACGCGAAAGAACTAAATTACAAAGTACATTCAAATATTAACAAGCATACATTCAACATAAAACATTTATTTTCTCCAAAAATGTAAACAATTTTACAATAAGAATTATGGTTAAAATTGATATAATTCATTGAGTAAATCAATTATTTGATAAAATTGGGACAAAATTAGGACAATTCATAAAGAAAATTGCATTTATTCAAATTAAATTGTTGTTGTTCATCAAAGTAATTATCCTAAAGTAAATTTAAGATATAGGAGTGCAGGACTTAGATATGTGTGTTCCCTATTCGTTTTAGTTCAAACTAAATAGAGACTATCTCCCTTTGGCTTTTGTATGTTACATCTGCTCATCCTCTTTCATTCCGTCTTCTCTTGTCATCTCCTCGTCGTCGTTCTTAGTGTCTAAAGGAAATACGTGAGCCTTTGAATGGATTAGTCTGAAACATCCTCCGGGAATAATTTTCCACGGCGGATCCGCTTTATTAAGATTTAACTGGGACAAGTTTAACAATTGTTTAACGATGTTGCCCGAGCTTTCGACACTCTTTATTACCAACTACTCTAAACCCTATTGTTTTCTCTCTCTCTCTGTGTCTCTTCTCTGTCCTCCTCTCAGTTAACCTCTCTTTCACTAATCCTGTGAATGCGATTAACGTACGCTATTTTAGTATGAATTGAATCCAAAACTATTTCCAGAGATTACATATAAAACGATAAAAGCATATTAACATTGTGCTGAAATATTTTGTAACACTAATTAGAGTAAAAAATAAGTGTTTTAAATCATATTGTAACAAAACATAAGATATTTATTGTAAAATAACGTAAATAAAAATACGCCATCTACCGACACTCTGTCAGAGCTTATTTATGTCATTATTACAAAACAATGTAAACCAAAAATTAATTATATAAGAGCAAAGTGGCGCAGTGGAAGCGTGCTGGGTTAGGGGTAACCCAGAGGTCCATGGATCGAAACCATGCTCTGCTAGTACTTCGAAAGAAGTAACAAAGTTTTATATACAATGCTTTAAATTAATTAAACTCAATCCATCAATCTTACAAACTATAAAATAATATAGAAATAAGATTGTTCTTAATACTGGATCATTCAGTCTTATTATGTATCAGTTTCATTCCATATTATGGTAATATTGAGTTAAGTTTAAGTAAATGATCATTTCATTATATAAACAAATTCAGAACAAGGGGAGAATAGAAGTTATACCAAAAATATTTTGATAAATATTGTTTTCAATTAAATTTGTACAAGAATATAAATAAATATATTTTTGCTACAATTAAGTGTAGTTATTATCAAATATAAACTTATTTTGATTAAAATATAAAAAATTTGCACGAAATTTGCCAAAAATTAGATATGTAAGAGCAGAGTGGCGCAGTGGAAGCGTGCTGGGCCCATAACCCAGAGGTCCGTGGATCGAAACCATGCTCTGCTAAGACTTCGAAAGAAGTTACAAATTTTAATATGCAATGCATTAAAATAATTAAACTTAATCTACCATAAGTCCAAACAATAAAATACTATAGAAAGAAGATTGTTCTTAATACTGGATCATTCAGTCTTGTTATGTATCAGATTGTTTAGATATTATGGTAATATTATTGTATTTAGGAAAATCTTCATTTTGTTACAAAAACATATTTACAATAATGATATAAAACATGAAATATTGAAAATATTTTGTTTTCTATTAATTTTTGTGTCCTGAGATAAATAAATTAGCTAAGCTTTGTCGAAGTCCCGCTAGATGGCGTATTTTTATTTCCTTTATTATGTATGGAAAATTATATATTTTGCTACAGTTACATGTAGTTGCTATAGACATTTTCAAATATAAATTTATTTTTATTAAAATATGAAAAAATAAACTTATTTTGATTAAAATATGAAAAATTTGCACAAAAAATTGCACGAAAATTGCCAAAAATTAGTTATATAAGAGCAGAGTGGCGCAGTGGAAGCGTGCTGGGCCCATAACCCAGAGGTCCGTGGATCGAAACCATGCTCTGCTAAAACTTCGAAAGAAGTTACAAATTTTAATATGCAATGCTTTAAATTAATTAAACTTAATTTAACATAAGTCCAAACAATAAAATAGAAAAATAATTGTTCTTAATACTGAATCTTTCAGTCTTGTTATGTATCAGTTTGTTTAGGTATTATGGTAATATTATTGTATTTGGGAAAATCTTCATTTTGTTACATAAACAAATTTACAATATTGACATAAAACAAGAAATATTGAAATTATTTTGTTGTGTCAGGATATAAATAAATTAGCTAAGCTTTGTCAACGTTATTGGACGTATTTTTATTTTCGTTAATATTTACCTAAAATTATAATTTTTGCTACAATTAAGTGTAGTTACCATAGACATTATCAAATATAAACTTATTTTGATTAAAATATGAAAAATTTGCACAAAAATTGCACAAAAATAATGAAAAATCAGTTATATAAGAGCAGAGTGGCGCAGTGGAAGCGTGCTGGGCCCATAACCCAGAGGTCCGTGGATCGAAACCATGCTCTGCTAAGACTTCAAAAGAAGTTACAAATTTTAATAAACAATGCATAAATTAATTAAACTTAATCTATTATATATACAAACAATAAAATAATATAGAAACAAGATTGTTCTTAATACTTGATCTTTTAGTCTTGTTATATATCAGTTTGTTTATATATTGTGGTAATATTATTGTATTCAGGAAAATCATCATTTTGTTACATAAACAAATTTACAATAATGATGTAAAACAAGAAATATCGAAATTATTTTTTTTTTCTAATAATTTTGTGTGACTTTTTGTGACTTTGCAATGAGGCAACCCGAAATATACGGGTACTTGTTCGAATACATGTGCAGACCATCTGGCAAAATAAGATAGAAAATCTGCAGCCGGGAAATAGGTCACTCTATAGGTTTACCAAATCTCTTAAGCGAAAACGCGAACCCATACATGCACTGGTCGTCGGGCAGAACACGGTTTTCACTAATCTTGATAAGGCGAATGCGCTCGCGGATCATTTTGAGAGCATTCACGATCTAGATCAAAAAGCATACATACCGGAACAACAGAGGGTAATTGACAAAACCGATCAGTTTATGCGTACCAATCATAGCCAAACATACGTAACGCCGACAGCTCCAAATACCTGACCCGACCTTCCGAAATGAGAAGTGCTATTAGAAAAGCACCGGCGATGAAGGTACCGGGGGAAGATTAGGTCCAAGGAATCCTGCTGAAGGCGCTCTCTAGAAAAGCCATTGTTCAGCTAATGAATATAATCAACGGTATGCTTAAACTAAGATATTTTCCGAAATAATGGAAACACGCATTAATTATACCAGTTCTAAAACCGGGAAAGTCGACAAAACAAACAACCTCGTATCGATCAATAAACTTGCTGAGATGTGTTGCGAAGGTGGCGGAAGCCATCATCCTCAAACGTATAAACAAGTATCTAGATACGTTTGATATACTCAAAGATGAGCAATTTGGTTTCCGACGCAAACACAGCAAGTTGCAAGAATTGTTAAAGATATTACTCATAATTTTAATCAAAAGGAAGCAAATCTAACGACAATGTCTCTTCTAGACGTAGAAAAAGCTTTTGACAAAGTATGGCATAAGGCACTCCTGTGCAGAATAATAGACTACAATTTTCACCCAGAATTAATCGAACTTACATCATCCTACCTGACGGATAGAACCGTCAACGTCTCCCTGGGTGATAAAGCATCGTCTAACCGAAACATTGGAGCAGGAGTCCCGCAGGGGTCACTCTTGGACCCAGTATTGTTTAATATATTTATTAATGATGTTTCTAAATACTTTCCCGGCAATAATGCACTCGAAAATCTTGCAATGTACGAAGATGACTCAGTTGTATATGCACATTCAAGCACTGCGCAAACAGCAAACAAAAAGGTAATCTAAAAGCTTCAAAAGATTTAAACCTTCCTCAAACATAATAAAATCGGAAAACATCGTGTTAAAAGAAAGCGCAAAAACACAAAAGTAATTGAAAAACTAAATATGAACGGAAAGAAATCGCGGTCAAAACATCTGTTAAGTATCTCAGAGTAACACTCGATGAAGGGCTACGTTTCAAGGAACACATCAATAAATCCCTAAGAAAGGCACAAGGAGCCCTGCGGACGCTCTACCCCCTGTGCGTCAACAGCCCACTTGAAAAAGATACAAAATTATGTTGCATAAGCAATTACTTAGACCCATCACCCGTCTGGTGTGGCGCCGCATAAATACACAAAAAGAAACTTAAAATCTTTGAAAACAGATGTTTTCGACTAGCTCTGAATCGCGAAAAAGACACTAGAATCACCGACCTAGTGCTAGAAGCTGGAATTGTCCTCATCGATCAGTACATTATTGAAGCCTCCGAAAAGTTTTACAGTTCGCAATTAAATAATAATAGACTATGTTCAGAAATCACAAATGTGAGACCTCACAATACACCCCTACATATAAAACATAAACTCCCATAACAAAACCTCTATCTTCCACATGTAAATACTCTCCATCACCCTCTCCTATCCAACACCATCACTCCTCTCCTACATAAACAATTGATAAGGTCCTAGAGGTCTAATGTATTTTGTTTTTAAGGCATTTTAGATAAAATAAAAGATTTTTCCCACGCAAATTTCCCTCTAATATAAAAATAGTTGTATATATGTACTAACAACCATAGTTGTATCTTAAACACTTCAAATGTAAATAATTGCTTCGGAAATTATCTCCATAATATTGTTAAAAGTGTAAGAAATATAAACCAATGCAAACCAAATGCAACTATGTTGAGAGATTTGTAATAAGATAAAATGTTTGAGCCCTTGCAAATTGTAAAAGGGTTAATAATTATGTATGTAAATAAAGTTATTTTTGTATCATTTAGTCTTCTTATGTATCAGTTCCTTTATAATATTATGGTAATATTATTGTATTTAAGAAAATCATCATTTCGTTACATAAACAAATTTATAAAAAATGATATAAAACAAGTCATACTGAAATTATTTTATTTTTTTTAAATAATTTTGTGTCACGAGATAAATAAATAAGCTAAGCTTTGTCAACGTTATTGAACGTAATTTTATTTTTGTTATTATTTATGTAATATGATAATTTTTGCTACAATTACGTGTAGTTACCATAGGCATTATCAAATATAGACTTATTTTGATTAAAATATGAAAAAATTGCTAAAAAAATTGCACAAAAATCGGAAAACATCGTGTTTAAAAGAAAGCGCAAAAACACAAAAGTAATTGAAAAACTAAATATGAACGGTAAAGAAATCGCGGTCAAAACATCTGTTAAGTATCTCAGAGTAACACTCGATGAAGTGCTACGTTTCAAGGAACACATCAATAAATCCCTAAGAAAGGCACAAGGAGCCCTGCGGACGCTCTACCCCCTGTGCGTCAACAGCCCACTTGAAAAAGATACAAAATTATGTTGCATAAGCAATTACTTAGACCCATCACCCGTCTGGTGTGGCGCCGCATAAATACACAAAAAGAAACTTAAAATCTTTGAAAACAGATGTCTTCGACTAGCTCTGAATCGCGAAAAAGACACTAGAATCACCGACCTAGTGCTAGAAGCTGGAATTGTCCTCATCGATCAGTACATCATTGAAGCCTCCGAAAAGTTTTACAGTTCGCAATTAAATAATAATAGACTGTGTTCAAAAATCACAAATGTGAGAGCTCACAATACTCTCCTACACCTAAAACATAAACTCCCATACCAAAACCTCTCTATCTTCCAAATGTAAATACTCTCCATCACCATCTCCTATCCAACACCATCACTCCTCTCCTACATAAACAATTGATAAGGCCCTAGAGGTCTAATATATTCTTTTTAAGGCATTTTAGATAAAATAAAAGATTTTTCCCACGCAAATTTTCCCTTTAATATAGAAATAGTTGTAT